TTTTTTTTTTTTTTTTTTTTTTTTTTCTTTTTTTTTTTTTTCCTGAATTTTTATGATGAACACCGGGATTTTTTTACTAAACATTATTTTTATACGATACTGAGTCTGTTGCCAAAATCCACAAGTCATTATAACATTCTCAGAGTTTACATCACCGCGCTTCCTGAGGCTGTGCGCTCACACCAGAGATTTCTGACGTTTCCTGTCCGATGAGTGTTACCAACTGCAGTCCCTGCAGCGCCGGGCACCCCTCAGCGCCCCTCTGCCCTGTGCCTCCGGCACGTCTCTGCCTGGGTCGGCTGCTTCCCGAAGCACCACGTCCCCCCAACTCCAGCACCTCCAAACTGTCACCCTCTCTGCTGCTAGGTTATGCTGCTCTTTGTGCCATGGTATCACTGATCTCATGCACAGGGTTTTTTATTCTGAAAGCGCACCAGATTTGTTCCTTAGTCAGAATGATGAAATCCTTGTTACTGTCGTGGGGGGAAATTCCTACCGATTTGTGTTTGTAACAGGAAAAAAGCTTTTTTCCCAACAGTACCATAGTGACTGCTTTTCAGACTCATTTTGCTGCACAGAATGACCGTTCTGCACAGCAAGGCAGTAGTAGCAACTCATCACCAGTATCATGTGGGCAGATTATCTGGGGTTTTTTATACAAAAGTGGGCACAGCGCTTCCTCCAGGAGAAAAAAAATGACGCGCGTGCTCCTACAAAGCTCTTAAAGGGAAGAGCTCTGTTATCATTTTACTGCCAAACGTGAACGCATTTCCAAGGCAGGTCCCCCGCAAGCACTGCCCCTTGTCAGTCCGCGTGGATAGAAGCACACACCTCTTGGTTTTGTACTTTCTGACATTCAAACTTGCCTTGCCTTCATGAAAACCACATTGGTCATGTTGGCCCATTGATCTGTCCTAACACCGGGAATTCACTCTACCCATTTTCTTTTTGGGCAACGTGTTTGTGAAAAATGAAGACATCGATATGCTATGCAAACTAAGTGCTGAGCCCTCTGATGTCATGTTTTGTGAAGATCCTACGTTTAGCACAGTCCTGTTTTTTCCTCAAGACTACAGTATTTGGTTCATATTCTCCTTTGCACCTTGTGTCAACCTCCACTGCTGTATATCTGCAAGGTGACGGGGAGGAGACCAGGAACTATTCATGGTCAGTAGAGTAGTGAACTCCTAGGAAGGCTTTTAGAGCGTAGGGAATGCATCAACACTAAGTGTCAACATGAGAAGCCTACATTCCTGTACACAAGTGCCTGCATAGTGACACAAATCCAGCACCTCCATCTCATCCTCAGAACTCGGGCTTGTGTTCGTTGAAAGCAAAATGATCTCAGAGGGGCTGTACCCACTCACCTTGTGTTAGAAAGCCCCTCGTTAAGAATAAAATTGGGGTTAAGGTCAAGGTTCTCTCTGCAAATCAGTTTGTTCACCAGCATTACAACGGAAAGCACCTGGCTGCTCTTCTGCAGCGAGGGGCAAAAGTATTTTGGTTTCTAGTTTTTATTTTAGTGTTTTAGTTGGGTCTAGAATTCTGAAATGTCTTTTAGTAGCTGTGGCATAGCACGTGCCATTTTTAACCATTTGAAAAGAGATAGTGTGGGCATTTACAGAAACAGCTTGTTGCTCTGTAACAATTTTTTTTTTTAACCTTGAGACTTGAAATGTAAAATGGACCTTTAAGATTTGCACTCATTTGTAAGGTGGCTGTTCATAGAAAACTATGAATGAAGACTCGCTGATGTAGCACCTACTTTTAACAGCAATTTTAACTACACAAAAGCTTCACAGCTTCTGAAACTCTCAGCTGTTGACTTGCAGATCGTGTTCTGCCCTTATTTCACCGTCTGCGTTGGGTTTTCATGGTTTTGAATAAATAAAAAAGCCAAACTCAGTAGCTGCTGTGCCCTTTAAACCCTATTTCCATTTTGAAGAAATCGAGAAGGGGTTTGAGTCACCCGCATGTTTTGTATAACGGACTATGCACTGTACCCTCTACGCGGCTCCAGCATTCAGCATTTCTACCCTTTTCTTGTCCGAGATGCAAACGAGTAACTGCATGTTGAGGTGCTGTGTGTTTTGCTACCCGTAGTGGATAGTGTTAACCCGGATACATATCAGGATTTGTAGTTAGCCACAAACCCCCCACGGACATCCCGAATGGCTCCCGAGTCTCTGCCTTCTCCGTGCGCACGTGTTCCTTCTGCAACTGGAAACATCGCCAGGTGCATGCAGTTTTGTGGGAAGAGGAGTAACTTTCATTTACCTGTCAGTTGTTGAATGCTGTTTGTTTCCCTTATCTCATATCTGAACGTAGCGGGGCCGAGGGGGCAGAGCAGGCCCCTCTCCCCCCAGAGCTTCCAGGGGCGGTCGGGGTGTCCTGGTGTTCGCAAGCGTACGACCCGATGTCTTAGTCTCAAAAAGCCCAAGCGTTCAACGTTGCCTCGCGGAAGGTTTTCTTCTTGGAAAATTAGCGTGAAATAAAGGAATGTGATTCTTTCAGGAAGGGAAGCCAGACAGCAGGACAGCAATAAACAAGTGAAAATTCATATCTTGCCTGAGTGATTTGCACTTCAATAGTTGTGAAAGAAAATTTACGGGACTCCAGTGCTTTTGTGTTCAATTTCTAGCCCCTTTCGTACCTCCTTTATACGAGCAAGTGTTGAACTGTACATGGGGTGTTCACAAGACACTCTGTTTGGGTTGTTATTTTTCTTGTGGTTTTGTTTTGGTTTTTTTTTTTTTTTTGCTTTAGCTTGAACTCTGTATGGTCCATTTGTTAAATAGACGTGAACAGTTGATGTACAGTACTTACTAAACAAGCAGCAGCACAAAACTTATTTTATTAAGAAAATATGGCTTATATTTTAAAGGTTGAATATCAAATTTTTTTTTTTTTGTATGCGTGGAATTAAGACTGGTAAAGAGTAACGAAATCCTTGGATTAGGCCAAAAGGAAATACTGTAAGATCATAACCACCTCTTTATTAAAGAAAACGGTATGATTAAAGAGCTCCAGAACATTGTATTTATATTTGATTTGATTTGATTGCCTTTGTGGATTTTTAAAATTTTTTTTTTTTTTTTTGCCTTGGTCCTGATTTTTGCTTGCAACTTTGACTTTGCAGTCCCAAGTGTCTGTTACCCTGTAACTGTTGGCAGAAGACCTAAATAAAAGCAATGTGAATATGCTGGGGTGACACTCCTGAGTTGGATTGCGTGGGAAAGGTACATGTGCAGTCCTGGCCGCTGGCTCGAGAAGGGCTTGGGGCCAAAGGGTGAAACGCTGAGGCTGAGCTGCCTCAGGTCCGGCGGAGGATCCGAACCCCCTCACTTTCCAGATTTCAGTCGAATGGGAGAAACACTTAAGCGGAAAAATATGCGCTTAAAACTTCTCAGAACATGGTAGCCAGTTCTACTTTTCATTAAAATGCCATCTGTCTGAGAACTGACTTGATTTGAGCTCCTTGGGTTGTTGGATGCCAGAAGCGTGCGCCCAGATGTGCTGCTTCTCCAGCTGCGTGTGCTTCGGGGCTGTGAAAGGCTGTTGGCTCCAAGGTGCTTTTGGGACAGATTTCGATTCCTTTTGGTGTGGGGTTAAACTTGATCCTCTGGGTTTCTGTACCGCCTCACGTTTACAGTTCCCAGCACTGGAATTCCTTCCGGCCATCCTGGCCCTCTCCAGTGCCAACAGCTCATGGTTGTGTCTCAGGGTCCAAAGCTGGAGGTTGTTTGCCATCCTCTGAATTCTTTGCGCTTTACCTTGCCACTGTGCATTGACATACCTGTAGACGATGAATTATTTAGCAGTTGAGCCGTAACGGGGTTTTTGAATAATGCTGAGCAATTTTAAGGAAGTGCTTGCTAATGGCATGCACGTACTCGCTAGCTAATTTACTCAGACTGGAGCACACACGATGTATTGTTCTGAACCGAGCACCTGTACAGACCCCGCACACGTCCTCCTGCTGCTTTTAAGGTTGTACCACCTTTTTTTACGAGTCCTACTAGATAACAGAAACCTGCCCTTGCAGTTTCAGGGGGCTATTTTAGAGAGAGGGGTATAACAGAAAACTGCATCTTGTACAGCTGGGTCTGGAGTCCTGGAAAACAGGTCGGGCTCCTTGGTTTCAGATGTTAGACTGGCATTTGAGCCCTGTCCCTTGTTTCTGATTACAGTGGCCTAAGCTGCAGAACCAGAAGTGCTTGCGTGCCTCTAAGGTATGTGCATTTTGCAGAGATGTCTCCCTCCGCCATATCTGCTCGATCTGGGTGATCCTATTTCCCCTTCCCTCTCAGGATTTCAGTTGAGGAAATACTCTAGTAGCTTACTTTTAATTTGCATGGTTTTAGAACACTTACAGTGTAGCTTACCTCTTAACTAAATTTACACATTTTAAGACGAATTTAGCTGGCAGTCTCCAGGATGGTCATTTTTAATAATGATTCTGAAACCTGGATTATCAATCTCAAACTCCTACTGGCCCAAAGCTCCAGTTCTTCAGTATCTCCCCAGGTGCGTGTCTGGGGGAGTGCCCCTCTCCCCACCAGGAAAGGGTACGTTGTTTCTTCATAACAAGCAGCAGGTCCAAACCTGCTTGGGCAAGTCTTAATATACTGTTTCTACCCAAAAAATGCTCTTCTGGAGGCAGAGGAAATAGAGATGTGGGTGCCACTGCCTGACCCAGCGCCGAGCCTAGTACATCTGAATCGCGTCCCCACGTGCACACAGTTGTTTTACCCTGTGCTTGTTTGGTGACAGTTTGTGTACCAAATCCTAACAGAGTGGTACTAAACATTGTAATAAACCCTGCCAAGAACTGAGAAAAGGGCAGACGTATGCTCCGAATTTATGCTGATGTAGTGAATCATAGTCTTTTCTCATCAACCCTCGTTACTCAGAGTCTCATAGCAATTCTGCAAATCGAGAGAATAAACACAAGCCTGGTGTCAGTCCTTTGGTTGTTACGGGGATGTCGAGGGACAATGTGCATTTGTCAGGTTTTCTAGGCAGTTGAGTGTACACTTGCCAGATGTCTTTACATCTCACTCCCCGAGAAGGCCACTTCAGAGCCTCGCGGGAGGACGGCTGCCGGTACGGAGGGTAACACGTGCACGCTCACTATCTGCAGCAGCGTTTAATATTTCAGCCTTGCCTACAGTTGCCTCGTTCTGTGCTTCGCCCTCCGGGCTCCCCCGTCAGCCCAGACTCTCCCCACGTTCTTGCAGCTGCTGCTCCGCAGGGTCCCCTCCGCGCTGCAGTCGGACACGATACGTGTGTTACGGGTTTTCAGGAGAGGAGAAGGTCCGTGCGCTCCCGCAGCGCTCCTGGCAGCGCGCACCGAACGTGCCAGCGGGCAGAGCTCCCGGCCAGCGTGTCGCTGCCTCCTGTAACCGTGCGGCCTGCCTGAGCGTGGCTGAGGCCGGGGCGTGGGTTTGCTCCTGGCAGATTTAGCGAGGATGAAAAAACCAGCAACGTCGTTCATGAGGAGCTGGGCTACAAGTCCTAAAAGCTGTCGTGTGGCCACTGCTGCCGAGCCTGCTGCCCCCGCCCGCCGCAGCGGTTTCACTTTTCCTTTGCAAACGGAGCTCCAGGGTGGGGGCTGCACCACCAGACCCTGTCTC